TTAGATTTTTTTAACAACTCAAAGCAAAACAAAAAAAAAACAAACAAAAATGAAACCCCCAGAACTTAAAACAAATAAGCTACAGTTCCAAAACTAGTTAAACCTTCAACAAACAGAACAAAATAAAACTTCATCAGCTATATTAACCAGTTTCCGAAATTCAGAAAAGAAGAGGACAATCAGGTCATGTTTCCTTGCATAACTGGCTTGGTGTGCCTAGATTGTAATGTGGCTTCTGAAGCCGAATACAGGTAGTTTTGCCTACACTAATTCAGCTTTATCTCAATTACAGCAGGTTGTTTTTTTTAAAGTAGGAGTTCCCACACTAAACCCAAGACTAAGATGTGCCATTTTACATCATCCCACTGCCTTCTGAAGTAATTTTGAAAGTGAATTGTCAGAAAAATCTGAGAAATACTTTCATGTCATGCAGGTGACTTTATTCATAGAACTATCACAGACTAGTACAAGTGCTTTCCAACCTCTATTTTTACTGCAGTATGTTAACCTACCACATAATTTTGTAAATGCCTATTGTTTGTGTCTCCTACATGTAGCAGTTGCACTTAGAACGAAGCAGCTTGTTCTCTATTCAGGCTGTTGATCATCACAAACAACACCAAATTTTCATGAGTTAAACCCAAAGTTTTAAATTATTAATTAACTATCTACTATGAAACTGCAACACTGTAAGTCCTTTAACAGCAGAATAACTTGATCAGTGTACACGAGTGAACAAAATTAAAATATTTGGAAAAACAAAGGTGATTTTTTTATTAAGTTACTCTGCCCTGAAGAACAAATTCCAGCATAATCCAAGATTATCACAGATCAAAAAATGCCAAACTGCAGAACATACCTTCCTAGAGGATGACAAGCACAGCTAATGTTATGAAAGGTAACTTTATACAATGATGAAAAATTAAGTTCACTCAAAATTAGAAAGTCTATGAATACTTCTATGTTAAGGCACTGATCACTGACAATAGCTCCCAAGATGTTTAAAAACATGTAAAATGGGTATTTTTGCCATTATTCAGATTTCAAATACTGGCTACTACCATGAAACAAAACAAGTAAATAGGACAATGTCTATAGCCACATAAATTAGATGCAAACAAACATAACCTGGCATTAAGAATGCCCTTACCTGTTTCTTAATGAAGGCCAGAGAAAATATCCATGAGCTGTGGAATGAATAAGCACATTCAAGCACATCTATTAAGCACATAATTTTGATGCTGCCAAGGTAAAGACTGTCAAAGTAGACAACTTCACTAACCGCTAATGTCAGCACTCACCATTAAAGGCACCACAGTAAGGACAAGTGTTCTTCTTCCGGCACTTTTCAGACACTTTCTTTTTTAGTCCTCTCTTCTGAAGATATGTAAGGCCGGGTCGCTTGAGGTAATCCAAAAACTGTTTCTTTTCTTCCACTGACAGCATGATACGGCAACAGGTTTTGCAAATCATCTTAAATGTAAACACACACAAACACAGTTGTTTAACAGACACATTCACCTCTTCTACTGTAACTTAAGTTCTTCAGAAGAGTGCAGCTTTTTAAAGTGAAATAATATTGTATGGATGAAAGACCAATTCATATACTTTAACACACAGAAAAGTACATGGGAAAAAGAAAAATACAGTCTATGAGACAAATCCTTATTTAACTTCTGCATGATCTTAAAAATCCATATAAAGAAAACAGCTTTGCTTGACTGGAATGTCCTAAAAGGCAAGTTATACTGCATACATTGAATTCAAAGTCCTAACGAAAAAGAACAGATTAACCAGTCTGAGATTGCATTAAAAAAATGGAGGTAGTTACTTCACTAACTCTGGTATTTTAAAACATCTATTTTATAAAATACAAGGTATGTAAATACAAAGTTTATAATACAACTTTAATTTGGTCTCCTCGATTTCCCTTTGAAGCACCATCTTTCCTGATAATTTCCTTTTTCTAGGCTAGAAACTGACAACAAATTATAATTCACGCTTACCTGTAAGATCCCTATCACAGCTTTGAAGTATCCAACATGAAAACATGGCAGCTCCAAGTCAATGTATCCATAATGACCTAAACAATCAGCTAGATTTTTTCCACAGGTTTCACAGGGACGGTCTTTTTCACTGGTTCCCTTTGTGAGAAGAGGAATGCACACACAGAAAAACAAAACCAAAACACATTAGCGGTAACCAACTGAACACATAAAAAATACAAGAGTTTTTAAGCTAGTCAAATGTCCTCACAGCAGACTCACTCCTTTTTCCCTAGCACCAGAATCATAGAATAGTTAGGGCTAGAAAGGACCTTACGATCATGTAGTTCCAACCCCCCTGCCATGGGCAGGGACACCACACTAAAACCATGTCACCCCAAGGCTCCATTCAACCTTGCCTTGAACACTGCCAGGGATGAAGCATTCACCACTTTTTCGGGCAACGCATTTCAGTGCCTCACCACCCTCACAGTAAAGAATTTCTTCCTTATATCTAATCTAAACTTCCCCTGTTTAAGTTTGAACCCATTACCCCTTGACAGTAGCATTACACTCATTCCAATGCAAGGATGTCTTCCACACACAGCCCTTACTGATGTCAGAGAAGTTGTACAGCTCTTGCAACCGATCTACAGCCCACTAGTCTATACTATGGCATTTTGTAGATGGATGTCCCTGACCCTCCCAATAACCTGACAGGAAGAACTTATCACCTGCATCAAAAGGATGCTTTCCTGAACTCTCCAAAAGCATGAAGAAAGCAGCTGCCACTGCAACTAACACTGTGCAAATGAAGCAAAAACACATTTACACCTATGCTGGATGAGCAGTAAATTTCAGCCATCCCAATTTATTTATAATAATTTAAAATAATTCTACAAAGAGAGTATGAAGAAAACTCAAAACATTTCTCACCATGCGATGGTCAAGTACTCCATACTGCAGTGGAGAGTGGTGGTTGTCCTGACTATACAGGTTTTTGCTAACCACTTGTATGTGAGCTTGCTGACGCATCTCTTCTGGAGATTTCATGCCAAAACAGATGTGGCTTCTAGAACGGGAAATTTCACAAGTGCACATATATATGCAGATACACTTTTAACTGCGGACATACATACACATATATATTTAAAAGCAACGCAAAGGTGGCTGATTCACAATATTGCCGAAGCAGGTTCTTCCGCAATTACTTTAAAAATGGTGCTGTTTGCAGCCAGTTCGCGGTTCTTATCTGGGATATTTTGGGCAGCCCTACGGTTGTGCCCGTGCATCCTCTGCCCACTTCACCCCTTCCCTCCGACCCTGGCCAGCAGCTCGAACCAAGCCCAACAAGCAGTGCTTGTAACACCACAAGCCATAACACCACTCAGGCTCCGCTCCCCGGCACACTAAACTTCTTTCCAGGACTTTCTGGAGCGGCTGGGGTTCAGCATCACAGCCGCCCGGGTCAACCCACGACAACACCCGCTCCCCTGGAGCTGTACAGTCCCCTGTGTTGCCAGCCGGCAGCGGAGCGGCCGCCGCCCACAAGCCTCCTACCGCGCAGAATGCCCCACGAACAACCCCACTCACATCTTCTTGGCCACATCGGTCTCCCGGAACTGCTCCTTCACCATGGTGGCGATGCACAGGAGCTGCGCGGCCGCGAACACGGACTCTCACCCTCCGGCGGGGCGACACGCGGCGGCGCAAAGGGGGCCCGCCCGCCCGCCAGCACAGAGCGTCAGGGGGCCAGAGCTGTCTCTACCTGCAGCGCCGCCTGCTGGGACAAGACTAGGGTCCGCCCGGTTCCTTCCCTGAGGGAGGCAGGCAGAGCCTCCCCGCTGCCAGCAGCGCCGCCTGCGCCAGGCCGTCCCTCAAGGCTGGCTCACACACTGACCTACAGCAGAGCCGGCGAGCACTTCGCTGCGCACCATGGTACTGATACAGTCCGGCCACCACCACTCCCCCAGCGCTGCTGCTGCCGCTTGGTTCACTTCAGAGCTCTACAGTGGGTTTCCTCTATCGCAGTCCTGTCCCTGGCTTCAGCTAACAGCAGGCGGGAGAAGACAGCAAAACCAAGCCCTCAGCAGCACGCAGCGGGGAAGCTCGCCTCGCTAGACAGTGTGGAACCAGCCTAGAGACAACCGCCTGACACCTCAGTACCCGTCAGAATCACACCCACCACCATCACCATTTTCTTCTGGGTCTGGCTTTGAGACAGACATCCCCATACAAAACTCCGCCCCAAGTCGAAGGACCCCTCACTGCGTTATGATTGGCCGTGACTAAGTCCGCCCTTTTTCTTGCTCGCTGGCGGAGCGGCTGCTGTCAAGATGGTGAGTATCTGACGGGGATCTGGGGGAATCCGCCCTGTACTGCTGCCATCCTGTCCCCAAGGGGCTCCCCAGGTGCTGGGCACTGCCACGCTGCTCTCCCCGTAGCGGGTTGGGGGAGTATGCGTAAAACTCAGTGGGGGCTTGATCCACCTCTTTGAGCCAGCACTCCTGCGGCCTGGCTGAGGTGTGCTGGGGCTCGTCCACAGTGGCGAGCTGCGGGGTGTGGGGCGGGACGCATGATTGGTCTGCTGCGTGTTCATGCTCCTGACTTGTAAGAGCAGTCCTAGGCTTTGACAGGAGGGTAACGTGCTTCTCTTTCAGTGTTAAAAGCACTTGTGTATTTTTATGTACCTATCATACTCGACTTAATTTTATGCCTATTGTTTGAAAGCATTACTGAAACAATAACTTACAGAGTTTTTTTTTAGGAAATTCCTGCATTAAGGAAGTAGTACCACATAGGTTGGTTAAGGAAACTTATGTATAGTGCTGTGTTGCTTGGGCTTGTAATCTCTGTGCTTCATTAAAAGCTGCTGCAGATTTTCAGCATGGTAGAGGTATGTTGCTGTATGGCCTGGAAAGTGGAGGTGAGTTTGCCAGGTTTTCAGTGTATAGGTGTTTTTGGTAGCCCAGGATCAGTCCATCTTTGGTTGTTAGTTTACTGTCAGTATCTATTCTGAAAGGCTACTGGCTGTTGCTGTACCTCTTTACTAAGCTTGGATTGCATGTGTAACTGTTGCTTTGTTTTACTTTATCGTCTTTTGCAGAATGACACAGTGACCATCAGAACCAGGAAGTTCATGACAAACAGGCTTCTTCAGCGCAAGCAGATGGTAAAATAATACAGAAATTTGTCTTTCATTATATGTCTGTTGATTTTGGGCTGCAGGTGGGTTTTTAGCCATTGTAAATAAGGGGCCCTTAAAACTTCCAGAATTCTTGTTAGAGTTTATAGGTTTAAATATGGTGATATATAGTGAGAGTAAGTCTTGATGATCTAGAGATCTGTATTGTCATTTGAAGTTGTGCCAGGGAAGGTGTAAACTGGATATTAGGAAAAGTTTCTTGACTGATGGGGTTGTCAAGAATTGGAACTGGCTACCCAGGGAAGTGGTGGTGTCAACCATCCATGGAGGTATTTAAGATACATGTAGATATGGCACTTAATGACATGGTTTAGTGGTGGACTTGGCAGTGATTGGTTAGATGTTCTTAAAGGCCTCTTCCAGTTTAAGTTATCCTGTGAAGCAGGAATCTTAAGAATGTTTTTGTATCAAACTAATAATACGCCTAAGGTAAAGCAGTTTAAGTGTTAAGCTTGTGGTGGGGCTGTAACATGTGGCTGTTGTACTAGAGAGTAACCTTTTATGGAACTTGTAAACCTTTCTTCTTAGGTGATTGATGTTCTTCATCCTGGGAAGGCCACAGTCCCCAAAACAGAAATCAGGGAAAAGCTGGCAAAAATGTACAAGACAACCCCTGATGTAATTTTCGTCTTTGGCTTCAGAACTCACTTTGGTGGTGGCAAGACAACCGGCTTTGGCATGATCTATGATTCCCTGGACTATGCAAAGAAAAATGAACCAAAGCACAGGCTTGCCAGGGTAGGTTCTTTTCCAGTAACTTGAGAACAGTCAGGATGGATTTGAAGTTTTTAGTCATTCATGATGTGCAGATGTAAAAGCTGAAGCTTTGTGAAAGTACTGTTGGTGCATTTGGAGTTATATAGGAGTTCTTAAAGTAGCATAGGTTAGTTTCTGCTTGCAGTAAAGGCTAATTTTTCTTTATTGTGTACTATAGGGGAATTGGGAAGGCAAACCTGATGTTACCAGTGTTGTTTAGTAGTAATAAATAACTGACCCCTATTAAGGGTCTTGAAGAAGGATGAGAGATGAGGCTGATCCATGTGCTACTTCAGTGCTTCTATTCTGTGTCGAGTAGCTCATTAAGGTAGTGAATTTGTCTCACTATTTAATTGAAATTTTAAATTGGAAAAGTATTTGAAGAGTCGAGAAGTGGAACTTAAATTCAGTTGGTATCAGTGAAGCAATGTTAAATGCAACTTTTAACTGTTTTTTAATAGCATGGCTTGTATGAAAAGAAGAAGACTTCCAGGAAGCAGCGAAAGGAGCGTAAGAACAGAATGAAGAAAGTGAGGGGAACAGCCAAGGCAAATGTTGGTGCTGGCAAGAAGGTAGGATGAGAATATCTTTAAGCTAGAGTGAGTGTGTTGCCTGTGAAATGTTGATCAGAAATTCTTCAACACATTAATATTATTTTTCTTCCATTTCTTTTACCTGTTCTACTGGATAACAGAAGGTAATCTGTGTGGTGTCATATAGTTAATCAGCTCAGTAGCTTAGTTTTGCTCCTCACTGCTGCAAGCTTAGTTGATATAACACAAAACAGTGCTTCTTATGTGATTTTTATGTGTCACTTGAGCTAAAGTTAAACTTTCATAAATCTAACAGTATTGCTCTAATCACATAACTTAGTCTTACAATATACACATTAGATAATCTTAACACTAGTTACTCAGACTACCTAGATACATAATGCTTATTCCACCAAGTTACTCCACTGCAAGTTACTCTTGTGCTTATTCCACCACTGCTATTTCTGGTGTTACTTATAGAGAAGATTTTGTTAAGAATAATGTGGTGATGTAGGCAGTGAGGACTGTATATAGATAAAAAAAAGGTAGAATGCCACCTTTATCCTGGGTTTAAGTGGAGTTACCTTCTGGTGAGAGCTTCCTGTGCTGTGGCTGGAACTTGATACAAGTAGCTTGGAGGGAAGCAGAGTTCCTCAATCATTAAACAAAAAGCCCACCCAAAGTAGCCTGAATGTAAAGACAGTAATTTTCTTAGCACCTTTCGTTGTCTGAAAAATACTGAGTAAGCTGTGCAGCTAAGTAGGTTTTTAAAAGTGTTTTAATGAGGAGAGAGAGTGATGTGTTTTGATCCTTATTTCTGTAGCTGCTTAAATGCCTTGATATCTTGAATTTTCATAATCCTCACCTTTGCTTTTTCTCTACTTTCTTGGAATTCTCCATCAGAAATGAAGTATCTAGCAGGTACTGAAAAAGAGCATGGATGTGGTGACTGAATTGTACATCAGTGAAATGTGTGTTCATCCTTTTGATCAAAGCACTGTACTGCCTTGCATACGTGCATGTTTGCTTTAAACTTGCTTCTGTCCTGTAAGGGTTCACATAACCACATATGAGCTTTATCCTGTGCAACCTAGAAATAAGATTTGGCTTGTAGTGAACAAGACTTTCTGAAAGTAGTGAAACAACATTAAAATAAGGAATTCTCGGTGAGGAGAAATCCAGGAAACTCAAAGTTACTGATTTGAGGCATTGGTTTAGAATGCCCCAGGTTCTGATTCAAAGTAGTACAGTGCCGTTGCATGTGTAACTTGACCTTTTGTGTGAAAGTAGATGTGCATCATTATGAGAACTAACTCACATCACAGTTTAGTGCATTTGAGATGATGACTGGAAACAAGACAATTGTCAGCATTAAATTTGTTTAACTATTGCCCTGCAGTATTCCAAGTTAAGACAAATTACAGTGAAATTGGAAGTCTCTGAAATTGTATTCTTAAGGTCTAAGTGAAATTCTTGCCATCACTGGATGGAAATAAACCAGTGCAAACTGCTAGATGAGAGAACTTCTATGCTACATAAGATTTGGAGACTTTTTCCTTTCTACTTTAATATGGTTTTAAAGTTATGCAAGTGCTTACAGTATAACAGCAGAAATTAGCACTTAGTATAGTAGTAACACTAATACACACCCTCTTGTCAATGTCAAGGGAGTACTTTAATCTTGCACTGATACTGGTAGTATGGAGGAACTTCCGCACTTTGAACTTTTGCATTTGAAGGTAGCTGTTCTTGAGCGTTAATGCAGAATGGTCAAATGACTGTCCTTGAATTACTGAAGCCAGTCCAGTTCATCGAAATTATCTTAAACCATATAAAGACTTCAGAAATTTAAGATCAGCATTGCAATAATTATAGAGCAGATACGGCTTCTGTATCAGGTGCTTCTGAAACTAGCATGCAGTCTCAGTAGTGAGTTGTGCTTTGATTAGAGGCTTTTTTAATGTCTTTGAAAATGATCTTTTAGTTGATAATCATGCATGGCTTAGATCTTGTTTGCAATTTTTGATAGTCTTTCTGTCCTCACATTAAAGATAATTTATGTGCATTCTGGAAAGCGTGATTGAGAGAAGTTGTGTGCTGTATCCCAGAAAAAAGCTTGTGCAATCCACTTGCATGTTAAAGCTTTGTCTTTGAAAAATGCGTGTTTAAACAAAATGGTGTGACCTCCTTTATCATAGCCATGTGGAGGATTTTTTAATAGGAGTCCAGGAGTGTGTTTTGGACTCCATCTGTACAGTCTGAAAACTCTTTATCTTGGAAATGTGTAGGCACTTGTTTATGAGATGTCTTCAGGCAAGACTGTGTTCTTGTAAGAGTTAACTACCACATAGACATGAAAACTGTTGAAATGGTGAATTGTATTTTAATAGTTTTTCTTGAAGTTTTAAGTTAAAGTTTTTCTTTGGTGTCTCCTTCCACTTACTACTTCAGAATTCCCATTCTCCTGTAGTTTCAAGAACAGTATTTTAAAGTAGTTTGTGTTACCTAAAATGTTACGTAGCTCTAGGGTTTGCAGAACACTCGCGTAAGTTTGCAGCAAGTAGATGTGAATGTAGCGTTTGTATTCAGAGCAGTGACCCATATACTCTGGAATATTGAAATGCAAAAAACCCAAACCCTTCCCTACCTTTTAATGTCACTACTGTAGTTATGACTGTCTTTGACATGGGAGCCTCCCAGTCAGAAATGTTTTTTAAAAAAACCCAGCTTGATCAAACAGAAGTGTGGACAGATAGGCATTTTAAGCCATTGTAGCCTGTAGGTATAACTGAACATGCAGTTGCATTCTGAGCATTATTTAAGCTCTAAACACTATTGCTAGGTCCTATCTTGAGTTTGAGGGAGTGTGTGAAATCTAAGTATTCAGCCTCTCTACAGTGTCAAAACTGTGAGGTTTTCCTGTGACATTTCACTGTAATAATTGAAAAAATCATATTGTTAGTGTCCATAAAAGGCCTCAAAGCTCCATCTTCTGCAGTAGTAGGATTTAGATTAAACTATTCTCTAATTAATGTCATTTCTTTTTCAGTAAATGAACATCCTTCAAATGGAAAATGGACAACAGGTATGACTTTAAAATGCTTTGTAAGGGTAGACATTGAGTAGTCTGTAGTCATTACAATGACACAGGTCTAATTCATTTCTGCAAAGACCATGGTATTTGTGCTGATACAGAGACCAGTGTAAGAGTTTAAGACTAAGGAAGACTTAAGTATTTACAAATCACTTACTGCAATAAGTACAGTAAGTACTCACTGTGCTTGCTACAGAGTTGATACTTTATGTGGCTTCCACTTACATGAAATAACTGATTAGTATAAAGACTGAAATAATAAATTGGGCAGTTTAGATATATTGTTGCTAAAACTGTTGATTATTTAGTTTTATTGTAAACAAGGCTTATATTTTTCCAACACTGATGTAGGTATGCTAAGGAAAGGATAGTGAACCCTGGTTTTTATTATCTCAAATAGTTTGAAGTAGTATGATTTCTATTTTGAGCACAAATTTCTCATAGATACTTCAAGTAAATTTCCTATTTAATAAATCACACTTGTAGACAAGTCTTAGACTATATTTTTATGTCTTTTCTGCAGAATCATAAGTGAGTTGGACATGTTGAGGGCAGTAATTGTCACAGACAAAACTCTGGGTTTACTACAAATGGTCTGAATGACTCAGTTTCAATAAAATTAAACTCGGAGCTGATAGATTGAGTATAATGTCTCAAACATGAAGTTGTCAAAGCAGTTTGAGCTTGTTGAGCTCTTCTGCAGAAATGCTGTAATACAGGCTCTCACTTGTTTTCACAACAGTGAAATTTTGAACCCCGTGTTCTTTCAAGAAAGACAGTGTGGTTCACTTGTTTGGGAGCCAGGTTTTGTAAAGGTATGACTGTAACAATTGTTTTAATTATGTGGCATTGATATATCTTTCTCTTTACAGACTACATTATTCTATGAAGAACTGCTCTGGAAAGAATATGTTCATCTGGGATTAACATCAAATAAACTGTCAATATAATGCTGGTTTGCCCTTTAATTTTGATTTGGAAGCTACCATTTTGTAAAGGTTGAGAAATTCAAGATTGGTGCATTGCTGGCACTATATTAAAATCTTTTCATAATTAAATGACTCCTGTTTTGAGTATCAATTTTAAGTGAATCAGAGCTTTCTGCAGGTAGTAGTATAACCTAATTCTAAGTAGGCAGTGTAAGTTCATGGAGATAGGTATGCTTTAGTCACCTGGTGTTCAAACTGTGGTTTGGAAGGTCCTTTAAGTTCTGCGTGTTTCATTACCTGTATTATGTAGACCTGTAGAAGGAGCTGAAGGGAGGGCAAAACATGTAGACAGACACTCAGAGCTGCATACTTCCACAGTGAAGATTTTTGCTAACGAGGGGGTCAGTCAGTCACGTCCCTTGTTCGTGTGTTGTGAGGACAGGCTCTAGGGTCTGCCTCTGGTCTGCAAACTGCAATATACATTTAGTTTTCATCTGGTAGTGTTAAAGAAGTCATTAAGATTGGAATAGTGGCTGCGTGAGGCATGCTCTATGCTAGAAGTATGGGCATTCTGGTGCAGGTGTTTTGAGTAGCAAGCAAAATAGAAGTTTTATACTTGAAACAGACTGTGTGGCTCTAGCAGCTGAACTGATGAAGGCTCTGACTTGATTATTATCTAAGTACAGTATTTGCCTTTGTACTAAGGTAGCATATTTTAACACAGGGCATTTCTAGTGTTTTTGGTAAAACCAAGAAACCCTGAGAAGTTAAAGTGTTTGGAAGGGGACTACAGCCTGAGTCTTGGACTAGTGAGGTTGCTGTGAAACAGACTGTGTGGCTCTAGCAGCTGAACTGATGAAGGCTCTGACTTGATTATTATCTAAGTACAGTATTTGCCTTTGTACTAAGGTAGCATATTTTAACACAGGGCATTTCTAGTGTTTTTGGTAAAACCAAGAAACCCTGAGAAGTTAAAGTGTTTGGAAGGGGACTACAGCCTGAGTCTTGGACTAGTGAGGTTGCTGTATTCTGCATTCAGCAGCATCACACTTTTATCTGTACAGTAAATTTTCAGTACCTTGTGCTGTGGTGTTTCTGCCTTCACTGAAGTTAGTAACTGGAATCAATAAGCAGTAGCCCTTGTGAAAGGGTAGGTGCTTCAGTTTCTTCTTAAGCATATGTGAACTAGTGGTGTTAGACTAGGATGGTGAAAAGCAGTAATTTCTTCTGAAATAACAGATTCTGAAGTCCTGTGGATGTTAAAGGCTTTTTTACTTGGCAGACCTTCGAAGATAGGTACCTCTTGGATCTTCTTCCCAAAGCTTCTAAGTATATTAAATTCTGAAGAATTAATTGCTAGAGGGGTATTAAAAGTGGGATTTGTGTGCTTAGGTACAGGATGTGCACTGAACTCTTGAGTCTAAAGATGTGTTCGGAGTAGGTGACTAAATTTCTGGAAACTGAGAAGATAGTAAGGGATGTGGAACAAATGTAATGCATGTAAGGCATAGAGTTAGAAACTGGATCTGCTTTAAAGATAATACCTTCAGTAAATCCTTTCTGTACATAATCTTCAACATTAAAAGAGAGGAGTCATGCTATTAAATGTAATTGAACAATCACTAGAGGGTGATGTGAACACAGCAATACAAGTAGGACTTGGATAACATGTTTTCATAAAATAGGCTGAAAGAAAGCCAAATTGTCCTCTGCCAAAGAGGTCAACTCCTTTGAAAATACGCATCAAAAATAGTTGTGTTTAGGATCTGAGGCTTTAAATGATATTTTTATTTTTATGGGTTTTTTTTGAATTTAATGGAAACCATCTGTTTCAGTGAAGACTGTACAGTTAGTGTTTTCCAAATGTTTGCTACTTTAAAGCTTTAGAGTGCTGGCACAAATTCTAGTTGCTCTTTTCAGAAGCCTCCTTACCTTAGTTTTAAGCAGTCAGCAAGGGATTTATAAATAAGTGCTTGCATAAAGGTATAGGCCTTGCATAGTCTTGATGTTTCGACTTTACATAGTAAAAGCTACTGTTATAAGGGAGCATGTACCTCTTCAAACAGAATTTAGTTCTGGAGTTGCAGCAATAAAGGTTGCTTTCTTCAATTCTGTAATGTCTTGCATGCTGTTCATTACAGGCCCATTTGAGGTACAGGAACTTTTTGAAGCAGATGGAATGAAATAGGCTGTCTTACTGCTTGGTGCTGTGATCTGGTATTTGATGCCCTGTTTTGGTGATAAGATTGACAGCAAAAAATACCTAGTGAATCCACAGAACAATTGACTTGTTCCTTGATGCAGGGTTCAGCTATAACCACGTATCTATAAGCCATACTCTTGTCGTGCAGTATGAGGCATTAAATA